CACTGCGCATTGTGCGGCACTGATCATTGTGAATGGTCCTGCAGTCCTCTGGGACCTGTCACGTGTCCCAGAAGACTGCGGGGGGAGGAGGATAACTTCCGCTTCAGATCGCCTAGGTGATCACAGCAGAAGTGGGAGTGCCCACATGAAAGAAAAAATATATTTGACATATATTTTAAAAATATTCTTCCCAAATATATTGCCATATATTTGAAATGCTACAATTTTGGCCATATTCAATATATTTCAAAATAGATTTCAATAAATATATAATATATATGTTGAAATGCATTTTTATTACAAAATATATGAAAAATATTTTTAAAAATAAATTTCAAATATACTGTATGCCTTTAAAATACAAATCTACATTTTTGGAATGCATTTACAATATATATGTAAATATATACCGTATTTTCTGGCGTATAAGACGACTGGGCGTATAAGACGACCCCCTACTTTTCCTGCTAAAATGTAGTGTTTGGCCTATACTCGCCGTATAACACTACCCCTCTTCCAGTGCACACCAGTGGGAAGAATCGTGCCCCATCATTGGTGTCAGTGGGAGGAATAGTGCCCCATCATTGGTATCACTGGCAGGAATAGTGCCCCATCATTAGTATCAGTGGCAGGAATAGTGCCCCATCATTGGTGTCAGTGGGAGGAATAGTGCCCCATCATTGGTGTCAGTGGGAGGAATAGTGTCCCATCATTAGTATCAGTGCAGGAATAGTGCCCCATCATTGGTGTCAGTGGAAGGAATAGTGTCCCATCATTGGTATCAGTGGGAGGAATAGTGCCCCATCATTGGTATCAGTGGGAGGAATAGTGTCCCATCATTGGTGTCAGTGGGAGGAATAGTGTCCCATCATTGGTGTCAGTGGGAGGAATAGTGCCCCATCATTGGTATCAGTGGCAGGAATAGTGCCCCATCATTAGTATCATTGGGGGGAATAGCACCCCATCATTGGTGTCAGTGGAATAGTGCCCCATATTTGGTGTCAGTGGGAGGAATAGTATCCCATCATTGGTGTCAGTGGGGGGGGAGGAATAGTGCCCCATCGTTGGTGCCAGTGGGGGGGGGAATATTATCCCATCATTGGTGTCAGTGGGGGGTGGAATAGTGCCCCATCATTGGTGTCAGTGGGGGGTGGAATAGTGCCCCATCATTGGTGACAGTGGGGAGGAGGAATAGTGCCCAATCGTTGGTGTCAGTGGGGGGGGGAGGAATAGTGCCCCATCGTTGGTGTCAGTGGGGGGGAGGAAAAGTGCCCATCGTTGGTGTCAGTGGGAGGAATAATGCCCCATCATTGGTATCAGTGACACCAACGATGGGGCACTATTCCTCCCACTGACACTTGCTGACCCCTGTTCCAGTACGGTGCTGCTGCAGCCAGCATATGTGGGGCAGCAGCACCTAAGTAGGCACACTTACCTGCATCTCCACTCGATTTTCGCGGGGCCGCTCAGCTCCGCCTCCTCGCCGGTGGGCCGCCTGTGTGCCTTTCCTGAGCTACAGTTCTGGCGGCCAATCACCGGTGAGTGTCAGGCGAAGCCGAGCAATGCGAACATCCAGTTGACGAACCGAAGGAAGGAGCACCCGCGCTTCCTGGACCGGATCGTCGTGGGACCGGAGCCAGGTAAGAGACAGCAGCCTTGCCACCCTGTACTTAGTGTCCCTTCTGTTGGAAGGGGGGGGCGGCGGCGGCACCGCGCCGCCCCCCTAAAAAGTGTCAGCATGCCGTTACCGGCGTATAAGACGACCCCCGACTTTTGAGAAGATTTTCAAGGGGTAAAAAGTCGTCTTATACGCCGGAAAATACGGTATGTTAAATTACTTTTATATATGTTATCAAAAAATCTGAATAATATATTTTTAAAACATATATTTTTAAAAATATATATATTTTAAATATATTCTTCAGATTTTTTTTAACATGTAAAAAAAGTCATAACATATATTTTTACAAAAAATTTGATTTGTAAATGCATTCCAAAAATTTAGATTTGTATTTTTAAAGACATACAATATGTTTGAAATGTATTTTTTAAAAATATGTTTCATATATTTTGTAATAAAAACACATTTCAACATGCAGTATATATATATTTATTGAAATAATATAGGATTTTTTTGGGTGTGGTTTGAGTGTGAGCAAGGACACAGGGGCCCCATGATCCCCTATTGCCCGGGGGCCCCATGATTTCTCAGGCCGTCCTTGGGTAGAAGTCTATCTGAGTGCATCTTTTGGATCTTTACTCAGCATAGGTAGCCCAGGGGCGGACTGACCATTTGGAAACTCGGGCACTGCCCGGGTCAGTAGGGGGCCCCATGAGATGCCCCTGGTACCTTTTTCATAGGCTTTTTTTGAGTTTGGGCAAGGACACATGGGGCCCCATGATCCCCTATTGCCCGGGGGCCCCATGAGTTGTCAGTCCGCCCCCGAGGTAGCCAAATATTCAAACAGTCACTTATTGGTCTGAGCAGTACTTTGTGTTCACCATGTTAGAGGCTGAAAGCAGCAGCTCTCAGACATAGTGGAGGTCTACCCTATAGTATGCACCTAAAAATTCTAGCAGTTAACTGAGTTACAAGAAATCCTGGATTGGTTTATTCTAGTAACCCTGTAATTATAGCACACAATACATTTGCTGCTAGGGTACAACAAGAAATGAAGCATTGGGATACACTTTGAACATTATACTTTTTGTGAATGATACAATTACAATTATAATCACTATGATTGTTATCATCATCTTTATTGTTATTATTTAGTAATAGTAATATCAATACTACTAGTAGTATTAGTAACAGTTAGAAGCACTACTACTTTTAGTAGCTTTAGCAGTTGAAGCAGTAACGATTTTAGTTATAAATGTAATTTTTCCATGACCATTTCTATTATTTAAATGTCACTTTTCCTTTATAATTTTCATGATTTCCAGAATCACATTTATATAATTTAATATATCTTTAGGACAATTTATTAAAACTTTTATGAATGTCTGAACAGTTAAGCCTGTACTCAGCATACATTAGCTGTTATACAAATTACTTGTTCTTAATCTCTAAAATAAATCTAATGCTGTCCAAGGCATCTCAATTGCACAGAAATTAAAAAATATATACTTTTTTGACTCCCATCAAAAAAAAAGGTAGTCAAGATCAAAAGTGTAAATCCCAAGATATTGCCTTTCATGCTTGCTTCCAGCTCAATTCAGCAGAACAGTTTCATATATTCAAAGCTCTGTATGGTTAATGTAAAACAGCCGTGATCCCCATTGTGTGAGCTCTTTTTGTACATAAACCAAAATTGGAGCAATACAGAGAAGATTAGCATGGCGCCTGGGCAAGGATGATACGGGAATTTGTGAAGCTTTCCTTTTTTCCATTATACTTGCAATCTGGGAATATACTGGGCATAGAGAAGCCTGGCCTTTCCTCAGTCTCTACTTGGCCATTAATATATGAAAGCGGTTTATTCCTTGATGTTGAATCAGCAAGATTATGTAGGTTTTCTTAGTTGTACTGTAGCTTGGAATGTATTATCGAGCTATGCTGTAGTGGGAATAATGTGTTATATCTTGGTGTCTCATTATTACTTCTCATAAAGCTGTTTTGAAATTCACTTAATCCTACAACAATTGAATCAGGCACCATTCATTTTGTTGCCAGAGCACTATAAATGAAAGCGGCATGCTAAGTCCACTAGTATTAACAGGAACTTCCAGATCTTTTGACGTATCCCACTATTTAGATGTTCATCATGGTAAAACAAGATGGTGGGTCACAGAAGCAACTAAACGTTCTAGGGCCCTTTAGCAACATGTTAGATAATTATTTTCCCAGGGTTTTTGGAGGATCTGTACATGATTCAGGTAACTGAACATCATTGGCAGGCAGTACTCCACATCCACTCCAACCACTTGCCCTTCTGAGGATTTACCCCCCCACCCCCCCCCCTTCCTGACCAGGCCATTTTTTGTGTTACGGTGCTGCATTAATTTAACTGACAAATGCACGGTCATGCATCACTGCACTCAAATGAAATTTACATCCTTTTTTTCCCCACCACTCACCACGATGGCCAATATCATCCCTACAGTGAAGCATGGTGGACTTGGCAGCATCATGATGTGGGGATGCTTTTCAGTGGCAGAAACTGGGAAAACTAGTCAGGACCGAAGGAAAGATGAATGTTTCTTCCTCCTCCAAACATAGCGTTGGATCCATGGGCCCAAACAGGTTCTAATTTTGTTTCATCAAGTCCACAGAACACTATCCCAACTGTTTGTGGTTTGTCCACATGGCTTTTGCATACAGCCTGCAGCAATGTACAGAGACATCCTTAATGAAAACCTGTTCCAGAGCATTACGCACTCTGAACCTTAGACTGGGGCGATGGTTCATCTTTCAACAGGACAATGACCCTAAGCACACAGCCCACACATAACAAAGGAGTGGCTATGGGGTGAATATCCTGGAGTGGCCCAGCCAGAGCCCAGACTTAAACCCGATTGAACATCTCTGGAGAGTTCTGAAAATGGCTGTGCACCAACGCTCTCCATCCAGCTGCTGATGGAGTTTGAGTGGTACTGCAAAGAAGGTGAATGAGGGAAATTGCCCAGAAAAAATAGGTGTGCCAAGCTTGTAGCATAATACTCAAAACATGACTTGAGGCTGTAATTGGTGAAAAGGTGATTCAACAAAGTATTGAGCAAAGGCTGTAAATACTTATGTACATGTGTTTTTTTTCGCATTTTTTATTTTTAATAAATTGCAAAGTTTTCAAAACGAACTCCTTTCCTGTTGTCATTATGGGGTATTGTTTGTAGAATGTTGACAAAAAAAATGAATTTAATAAATTTTGGAATAAGGCTGTAACATAACAAAATGTGGCAAAAGTTAAGCGCTGTGAATACTTTCTGGATGCATACTGGGATATTTTTCTTTTCATTTTTACTAGTAATGGCAGTGATCAGCAACTTACAGCGGGACTGCGGGACTGCGGCGGGCATTCTGACACTGGGGGGAACTGACTTGGTGTCACTGAAATCCCCATTGACACCAATACAGTGATTAGTGCTAATACAAAAGCACTGACACTGTACTAATAGCACTGAGCAGAAAGGGATTAACATGTGGGGCGATCAAAGGATTAACTGTGTGCTGTTTTGCATACTGGGCTGTGTTTGTGCTTCACTACAAGCACACTGCTTTGCATGGCTGTGCTATGCACAGCCATGCAAAGCAGTGTGCAGGAGCTGACAGGGGAGAGAACTGTTTTGTTTACAAACAGTTCTCGTTGGAGATGCTTGGCAATCATTGGGCGCCGGGACCTGGTGATTGACAGATGGGGCTGCGAATGGCGACGTGGGTAGGGTATGCATGCACCCCTACCCAGAAATGCAAAATCACGTATATATATATATATATATATATATATATATATATGTATGTGATTTTGCGCACCCGTGTCACCCTGTAGCAGTACTTCTGCTATAGGGAGGATGGGAAGCGGTTAAGATCAGGTCTTTTCTGGCACTTTTTGTTTAAATGTAAAAATATGTATTTTTTTCTAGAAAATTACTAAGAACCCAAACATTATATATTTTTTAAAGCAGAGGCCCTAGAGAATAAAATGGGGGGTGTTTCACTTTTTCATGCCACGTGGTATTTGCGCAGTGACTTTTCAAATCCATAGCCAACAATTTAAAAGCCTTTACAGGTTACCAGTCTAAATTTACACAGGAGTTCTGGTGCTAGAATTACTGCCCTCAAGCTGGCGCTCACATTGATATCTGACATGTGCGGTGCGATCACCGTTTATGCATGCGTGCAGGACCTATGCATGCATTCGCCTTTGAGCATGAGCACACGGGGGGCACTTTAAAATTTTGTTTTTAATTATTTTTTTCTGATGCTTACACTGTCCCATTTAATTCCTTTATCATTTGTATTGTTGTCACAGGGAATATAAATATCCCCGTCGACCCAGCATTCCCCAGGCGATGACATTAGAAGGAGGCGTAGTCACCTGGTGATGTCACCAGGTGTCCCCACCCCTTAGCTATTTAAGCTGTCAGAAGGTGGGAGCCAGAGTTGAGAGCAGAGCTTTTTTCTTTGTTTTTTTGGGTCGGCGGTGGCGGCGGGCATCGTTGGCGGCGGGCATCGTGATTGACGATGGATCTATACCCGGGGACATTTTTTAAATTCTTCTGCTTTTAACAAAACAGGTAAAACTGCCTCCTGTGTTTTTGTACACTAAACTTTTTTTTTTTGGGTGAATGAGTAGCAGTATCATTTACCCCATACTCATTCATATGGGGGGGGCAGGATCTGGGGGCTTCCAGATTCCAATAAGCCGCCCACCCGAAGACTACCACAACCACCGGCCAGGGTTGTGGGGAAGAGGTCCTTGTCCACATCAACATGGGGACAAGGTGCTTTGGTGGTGAGCCCCCTGCCAGCACCCCCATGTTGAGGGCATGTGGCCTGGTATGGTTCGGGGGGAGCGCTTGCTGCCCCCCCTTTCCTGACTTTCCGGGCTGCATGCTTGCATAAAGGTCTGGTATGGATTTTGGGGGACCCCCACGCCATTTTTTTTTTCATTTTGGCATGGGGTCCTGAAGTCCTGAAGGGCTTGGTATGGACGGGGGGAACCCCATACCATTTGTTTGCTTAATTTTTAATAGCCAGCAATTCATTATTTTACATTCAGCTGTCAGAGGGGAACCCACTGACAGCTGATACAGTAGCGTATGTTTTTCACGACTATAATACAGCATGACTTAACAAATAACTCATGCAGTATTTTAGTAGTGTTTTTAGTGAATGTCAAAATGTTTTTTTTTAAAAAGCTGTGCGATATCTTACCGCATACTCAGATGATGCAGTAAGATACTGCTTAGTGAATTGACCCCAATATCAGGATGATGCCTGCAGCTGCAGGCATCATCCTGGTATGACCGCTCTATGTGTAGAAATATATGGCTACATTTCTGGTCTGCAAGTGGTTATACTTACTGTCTCTTTAACAAGAATACAGGTGGGGGGTCCCTCAGGTATATTAGAGTGTATGTAAATGCCAACAATTAACCTTTCTTATTTGAACCCTTTTGGTCTGTTAAACATACCATTAAATCTGGTGAGCAAATAACTTCATGTGCTCTCTGCCTGTGCTGACTTTTATCAGTTACATTGTTCTATGTGGACTAGATGACCATGCCCCTATATGTCATGGACAATTAGAGATGCATTGGGTTCCTTAGTCCAATCTTGTTTCTGTTGATCTAATACATTGCTATCATCCTAACTGGAAAACTGTTGCTGGAAAAATCACCAGATGAAGATAAGGGAAAAAATAAATACCGCCAAACTGACCTGCTTCCAGATAAATTAAATTTTACAGAGGAATACATATTTTTTTATTTATGGATTACATTTTACAAAAATTATGAGGGAGAATTCACAGACTGATTACACATTAGTAATTTAATTACATTTATGTAATTACTTTATTACATAACGTGCATTCTTAGAGTGTTCATGTATTCACACAGATATTGCATAAGAATTAATTAGGTTACAACATTTTCAGCAGGCACATCATAAAATCTAATTGAGCAAAACGACTTCTTGCTTTTTTGTGGGACTCCTTTTTACTGCTAATGCCACCATGCCACCAACAGGCAAGTCATTACTGAATCCTGAGTAGAAGTGTATGTAAACTCTCACCTTGTACAGCAACCCATTCAGTTTAAAATAGAAATGAAAGGCAAAACAGTTGTGTATACATATAAAAAAAAACATTTTTGAGAACAGAGAGCTGGAGGAGAAACAGCAGTACACTGAACTTCCAAGTGAAAAGCAGTGCAAGGGGGAGGGCTATTAGCAGAAGTCTGATCATTGGAGGAGAGCACACTGAAGTCCCAGCATAGCTAGAGAACTGACCACAGTGTGTTCTTCTATTTGGTGTAGTCAGTTTATAATAGGAAAGCAGAGGGACTGACAGGAACACCATGGATTTCAAAGGAAGCAATACAGAGAACAGGATACTTTTTTCATACAAGTACATGGTACAGCAGGCACATATCAAGATTGTAACATTTTGAGTTTATACTGTATATTCTTTAAAGCCTAACTCCAGGCACAATTAATTTCATGTTAACTAAAGTGCCTTTCTATGTTTTTTGCTTTTATGAAAATCTTTCTACTCTCAGATTTGAGAAAAACCTTCTACTGGATCTTCTCAGCTTTGTGAATGGCAAATTTCAGAGAAAGAGCAAAGGCACAAAATCCAAGTTGGTATCTGTCATAGATGCCTCTCCGTTGTGGTGGGGAGCTGGAAGTACAGCAGAGACTATAGTATCTGGAAAGATCCACTAGGGTTTTCTCAACTTTGTGGCCAGAAAGACTTTGATAACAGCCTAGAGATCCTGCCTGGAACTGGGATTTAGATACAGGTTAATGTTTTTTAGGATTTATTGATTAACTTGAAACAGAAGATGGGTTCAGGGATCAGGATCCTCCAAATGATAGCACAAATAAAAGAACAGACTCTCACTAATCTCCTCTAAACTGCAGTCACACATGAAATTCCTAAATCAGGTCCCAGGAGCTGACCACCACCCAGCTTCCACTGGGAGATACTCGGTGAGGCAGATGAAAGATCCTTCTGCAGATCAGGACTTCCGAATAGCAGAATAATCCTTTTTTCAGTCTTCCCCAGGCCCTCAGCCAGCTCCTGCTGAGCCCAGACTGCAATTCCTTGTCTCAGTAGCTATCTCCCAGGGGCAGTAGTGAAACCTAGAGAGGAAAGAACCCCCTGGCAAGGTCTCCCAAACATTTATCACCTCCAGACTCCTTCTGGATGTCTCCTTCTAGGGATTGGCTGGGGTGTAATAAATATTCATACTGGTCATTTCACTCCTCCTGCTCTATATTCTGGAAACTTCTTCCAGAAGCAGGAAACTCCAGCTAGTAAACCTGACCAAACAAAAGCAATCAATTGCTGCTCCACTGACTGCAATGAAGCCAAAAACTAAATTTAGCTAAGCAGCCTAACTAGAGGAGGGCACTACACATACACTTTCAAGGCCAACTTTTCTTCAACTGTTCCAGTTTTGTGTGGTAACATTCAGCTTACATGACACTATGGCTTTTATATATTTGATGAGATTTTCAATAGAGGTATCCCCCCATACCCCATAACCAGTTCCATCCAACTATCACAGCTATAACAAAGTCATGGTGTCATACTCATTAATGGATTCTCTGCAGTGTAGAGTAAAGAAATAACTGGGAAATCCAGCAGTGAGCCTGACATCTTCAATATTGTCTTTTGGATGGGGCACAACTGTTGCATTGAAAGTTTTTAATGTGTCATTTTCAAGATATATAAGACTTCTTATCTGGGAAATGTAACCGATGAAGCCTCCATGAGACATAGGAATCTAGAGGCTGTTTACCCTAAACCTTACCCTTCATTTACAAATTGGAAAGTAGAGCCTTTCAATGAAGAATGTTCACAAAGGTAAAGCTCAAGTCTATATGTATAGTTTACTAAGCAATATCAGTGTACACCAGAGCACAGAGCGCAAGATAGCAAAGTGACAATCATCCAGAAACAATCAACAGGCTTCAACATATCTCAGACGCATAGCCAGTGGAAAGGGGAACTCCTGACCATCTAGCAGGCATACTCCTGGTGAATTATGATGCTTTTTCAGGTGTTTTACGGGCATTTTACACAAGTGTATCAAGTTTCAGGAGTTTGCTTCCTGGGATAAATAAGGAGAGGAGAGCAGTTATGCAGGAGGAGAGGAGTGAAAATGGATGTGTTGGCAATTTACAGGGACTTCCATTGAAGTATATGGAGCCAAAAAACCCTGAATCAACTAAAAAAAAGCTCATATACTTCTTTGAGCATAGGGCATAAAGCATAGGGTGACTGAGCATACAAGTGTGAACAAGAAAAAGAAAGAGATCTCAGCGCACTAATGGCTAATGTCCAGTGTTATATGTCCATAAATCCCAAAAAAGTCTATGGCTACTAACCGCTTCAGTTAGTAACCATCTCAGAGTAAGCCAGCTCTGTATACAAAAGAAAAGGAAGAAGAGTGGCACCCCCTGAGTGCACTATGTAAGAAAGGTTTTAATGAACCACAATATTAAAACTCACAATGTAAAGAAGTAAAACAAGCCCATCAGTAGACCAATACTGTGTCCTGCAGGGGTCCATCCCATGTGGAGCTGGCTGCTTGAGGTAATAACAGAATCCCAGGCTGATGGGGAGAGTGGAGGGTCCCACAGTCTTGTGGTGAGTGTCATGCAGAATCCCAGGAAGCTGGAGGTGATTGAGTATCCTGGGCTCCGTTGCCACACAAAACTGGAAGTGCCATCTCTGCCTGTGTG